ACTGGTGTCTTGGTTGCTGCTGGTTTCACTGGTAGCATCAGTCGTTTTGGCGCCTGCAGTGGTGCCAGGGCCAGTACTGCCTGCGTTGCTGGTTTGGGGGATGTTGGTCGTGTCGCTGATTTGAGTAGTGCTGGCGATTCCGGCGTTGCTGGTTGCTGTGGTGATGCTGCTGGGTGTGGTAGGTATTAGTGTGTTACTTGTCGTCTGTGCTTCATATGTTGAAGGAGGTCTTGAAGTCACTTCAGGGGATGTACCGGGTATTAGGCTGGTGATTACAGTTGATGCAAGTTGGGTCGTGGACTCCAGAGTTGTGGTCGAGATGCTGGCAGCAGCTGACGCCGTTGGAGGTGTTTTATCAGTCTGGGCTATGGCGAAGGATGCCGAATATAACAGCAGACCTGTATTTCAAGGCAAAAGATGTTTCTCATAGTTAAATCCTGCACTGTGTTTTAGTACATACCACATATAAGCAAACACCCATTCTCGATCCTCTCGTCAGCGAGTAACAACACCATAGTGGAATAGTTATTCACCAGTACAAGCAATTTGTTTAATTTACGAATGTCTTTCTTATCTTGCAGGATCACTCCACTGATTTAAGTCTTTAAGCTCAGCATGAGCTTAGATGTTGTGAGCTTGGAGGCAACACAACAAACCCGGAGCACTGAGTTTGAAAGATCTGGACATTTACCAGTAAAATTATAATCAGCTGTTTCCTTGGATGTAAGACTTTGGTTGTTTCTGGTGTTTCACCAAGACACCAGATGGTACATCTCAATGAACATCTTGACAAACAATCAAAATAACAAACTACTGTACTGAAAAATCCAGTAATGCAATCGTTAGCTTGTTATTTCAGAGAGGATGTAATGATGGTGGGGTAAAACTCAATCAATGCTAAGCTAGCAGCAGATACAGCACAGCTGGGTGACATCAAATCATGCTAAGCTTTGGGCAGACAGTCAGATAGCAGAACTAAAGGTGGCACTTAAAAACAGAGTCATGCTCCAGAATTACACCCAAGTAATTCAGTAACTGTCCAACAAAAATCACAGAATTGGGTGCCTTAAACTCAAAGCCCGTAAATGGAGGCAAGAACTGGGGTGAACCAACAGCTAGCTTTTGTTCAAAGCATTTTGGGCCAACTGAAAGTTTTTAAAGAGACTAATGCAAAAGAAAAGAGATGTTACTGTAGTTCAAACTGAAAAGATAAAGATATGTACAAGAAATTCCATGTTTCAAACCTGATTTATCAGGCTTGACTCTTTAGTTTCTTGTCCTTTTGGAACAAGAATGAATGAGCCTTTTAATGATTTAAGAGAATACCGAATACCAAGATTCCTAAAGCAATGTATTGATTGTCACGATCAGTTTTATCACAACTGAGACGGAAGAAATTTAAAGGCGTCTGATTTATAACAGAAGATAGTTGCATAGTTCAGTAAGGTTGTTAAAAATGTTGCTGTGCATCGTGGGCATAACAACGGTAAATAGATAACATACTGAAAACAGAAGAGGTCCACGGATCAAACCTTGAGGGATCCCACATGGTAAGACAAAAGACTGTAGGTGGTGACAAATTGTTATGAAGGATTTGTGTTGAAAAGGGCAAAACAGTTGTGGAAACAGACTTGTGGGGGATTGAAATCAAGTTCAAGCAGAGTTACTATGAGTTAAGCATTTTTTGTCTGTTCCAATTAATGATGGGGATGTAGAAGATGGAGGTAAGTAAGACAGAGCAGAGGAAGTCTTGATGGGGAAATTTGTTTCTAAAACTAGGCTATTAGCAGTGTGTATTTTAAAGGCAGGGTGACAGAGGGAAGGACTTTCAGGGCGTCACACGAGGCTTAAGGCTAATCGATGCTTTCTGCATTTGCAACGCTACATGTGACGCAAATTTCATCATCCGCTAAAGTCCGCAAAGGTCCTTTCACATGTCTGTGTGTGCTTTTATTTAAAACAACTGTCGCCCACACTCATCATTTTAAAAAGTTGTAATTGAAGTAGTCACTGCAGGACTGTGAAGGTGCGTTGATGTTTTTTCTTTCTATTGACGGTTCCCCAACACAGCACAGGGTTTCTGGAGTATTCCGATAATTGCACAGTGTCCGCCCACTGCCACAACCTAATCTGTACCTAACTGCTGTAAAAAGTCACTGCTTTCCAAAAACATCCACAAGAACCTGGTGTATTTTTCTGTGTTCGAGTTGTGGGGCGATGCGATCATCTCCATAACACCTACATGTACCTACTGCAGTACGAATGTAGTCACAGATGCATCCTCCGCTTTCAAAGTCTGCATGAGTCACGTTCAGTCATGATTGGCATTTATAACAGGCTTTAAAATAAAGTTTTGAATGTTCTGTTGTGTGTTAACTTATCAGAAATGTGATATATAATATTCATCAATTAATCAAATGTCGTAAACAGTCATCGGAGCTAAAAAAAAAAAAAAAAAAAAACTCAGCTTGAAATACTCCCTGAACCAAACATTTCCTCCGGCCTGAGTAATATTTGGACTTCCTGAATCTATTTAAAGATGAAACCACATATTTTGGAGCTGCTTTTCAGGATTTGTATCTTGAGAAAGAACTAAAGTGGAAACGCTAAGCACCAGCTGTTGTTGGTTTTAGTCTTTTCACAGGACTTGTTGACAAGAAAATTCTAAAATAACAGCCTTATCTTTCATTAGAGCTGTTTTTAGGGGCCTGTTTGCTGAAATGCTAACCCGGACTGCACTGTCATATTTCCTTCTTTGAGCAAATGAAATACCCAAGAACTCTGTGGCTGAGTGTTGCCGTCAGTGTTTCAGGAAGACAGAGCAGATCTGGTACCACGCGTTTAAGGCTTGACTTTTTCTTATTATCACGTTTTAAATGCAGTCGTTTGAGGAAATGAATGAAGTTTTATGCTCCATTCTGGTAAAGTCTCATTCCTTCAAACATAAATAAACTGAGAACACATTATCTTGTGAGAGGTCCTTCAGATTCAAAACAGCACCGTGTTCTTCATTCAAAGTGTTTAAAAAAAAAAACAGCAGAAATCTCTATATTATTATTATTACTTTCTCACCGAGCCAAACATTAAAGAAGTAGTGTGTTGTGTTACCGCCATCAAGGGGAAGCTGGTTTGTGTTTGTAATTTATTAAATTAGCTTCCTGTTTGAAGCAGTGGGAAATATGTCTGCTTTAATAGATGCTGCGACTTCACTGTTTAAAGATCGTCTCACACAAACTGCAGCTTGAACAAAGCTCTAAGGATGAATCAGAACTTATATTCTAATTAAAGTGGCTTTTCTTTATACCTTCCTAAGCTAAACATTAAACTTTCACTTTAGTGAATTATCTCTCCCACACTCTGACCTGCTGAAGTTCTCTAAATCCTCTCTGTTATAAACAAAACCAGATTAAACCAGCTGCTATATGGATGTCAGAGTTTACTTACATGTTATGACCCTCATGGTTGTTTCCTCTTTATCGTAAATCCTCACAGAACGGTGGAGAAGCTGCAGCTGTGAGCTCCCTGTGGACTGCTGTAGTGTGTTTTTCTGCCCGTGACTGTAGGTGACTGATTATAAGAGCCGGGGGGCGAGGCTACACAATGACTGAGTCACACCGAACCTCGGAGCGCTGCCACGCTCTATCAGCCAAGTAATGATTAAAGACCGCAAGAAGTGCACGAGAGGTGACAACAGTTATTTGGGGTTTTAGTTTGCCACAGAATTTAGGTCCAGTCATTCTAAAAATAAGATCAATCACCGGGTATTTTTTGACAATCTTCCCATAGGTGCCGTATTAAGATGTGACTTCAACATCTGGCTCAAGAATTTCTTTCGGGATTAATGATCAGAAAAAGCAAAACAACAGAAGAAATCCAATTAAATGAGCATGATACATGACCTAAAGATTAAATATTAAAGTTTTTGTCTGCAGTAAAACGTATTTCAAAACTGATCTTTCTGCGTTCTGAAAGGATTTTGTCTGTATCTGCACATTTATTTTGCGATTTCATTATTTTGCATATACATGTAGACTGAGTATGAATAAGTACATAATAATCAGTGACATATGAGCTGTAATTATTAATACACACCAGCAGAGAGCAGACACACACACACTTAGAAAGTGGCTTTGGGTTCCTTAACCAGCAGAGAAATTTAAAATTGACAACAGCAATGCAACAAGTGGACAAACAGAGTCTATGACATGCGACAGCGGTGATAGTTTGACTGCTTTACACCAAAAGAGGAAGAATTAAGCAGCTCTACGGACAAATGTATGAGGATGTTCTCATGTTTTCTGCTGCTTAAATCTTGCACAAGCTCCCACGCTGCCTGTTTTCTGTTTCTTTTATTAGTAGCCATCAAGAAGCAACATCCAAAGCTAAAAAATTAAGTGTCAAAAACTGCAGTTTCACAAATGGCCACTAGAGGCTCCAAAAGCGAGTCGATCCCCATAGAGCTCAAAGATAAAATGAACAACTTTACAGGATAAATACACAAGTTTACAGGCTTGTAAAGAACAAAGTTTGGGTCTCTATAGCTAATTTGACCTTTCATGAGAAATTTTTATAAAACTCTTCTGTTTACATTGTATTAAAGCTTGAAGTTGAGCGTGATCATCTGCCTCAGCTCCACATCTTTGCTAATGAGCAGAAGTTTGGGAGAGTCAAGCTTCAAAACTGCTGCTTTGGGAAACTCTTGGTAGCATCACGTAAGCTTCATCCATCTTTATCTAAAAGCCCA